ATGGTTATCGTGAAGCCGATTTAAGTGTCCTGGTTCAAGAAACAATCTACCAGTCAGTTTTTCTCTGGGGGTTTCTCCCTCTCTGTGTCTGAAAATGCCCAGTGTTCTCTCCTTGGCCGTCTTGAACTAATTTCACCTAGCATAGTTTTGTCTCCTTCACTCTACCATCAGCAGTTTTTATTTGTTGTGCACTAACTTTCCTTAGCACATATTTCTGCTTGACCACCTCAGGCAATTTGTTGGATGCTCTTGACTTGTGGCCCATCAAAATGTTATATTTTGAGGTGGGCAGAAGAGATGTACAGAAACAGATTTTTCATAATCGGTGGTGACTGGTGCCAAGTACTTGCTTCACGTTGTCTCGTTCAGTTCTTACGTGTACCTTGAAGGGTATGTGGAATCATTCCCGTTTTAAACATGAGGGAGCTAACTGAGGTGCGGAGATATGAGAATTACTTTCCCAGAGGCACACTGCTAGTGAGTGGTAAAGCCAGACCATTCAGTTCCCAAAGTCTGTATTTTTCATTTGGATCTCAAGCTAAAATTCACCTCCTTGCCTAGCTAAAAGGCTTTACTTCTTGAGACAAGAGTGGGGACAGATCTTTGGCACCAGTTTTTTGTTACTATAGAAACCATAAACTATTGCTGGATTAACCATATCTCAAACCACATAAGCATGTGTATTAGCTTCCTATTGCTGCTATAACAAGTTATCACAAACTTAGTGGCTTAAACATAAATTTATTATCTTTACGTCCTGTAGATTGTCTATGATGGGTCTCCATGAACTTAAAAAAAAAAAAAAAGGTGTTACAGGGCTGCATTCCCTTCCCTTCCTGAGGCTTGGGGGAGAATCTGTTTCTTGCCCTTTGCCACCTACATTCCTTGGCTTATGGCCTTTATCCATCTTCAGAGCCAGCCATGGCAGATTGAGTCCTTTTCACCTCTTATCACTCCAACATTGATTCTTCTACTTCCCACTTCTACATGTGAGAATCCATGTGAATATATTATGGCCTCCTGGTTTATCCAAAAAAATCTTTCCATCTTAAGATCTGCTTGTTAACAACCTTAATTCCATTTGCTACCTGAGTTCCTCTTTGTCATATAAGGTAACGTATTCATAAGTTCCAGGGTCAAGCATGTGGACATCTTTGGAGGCAGCACTGTTTGACGTATAAAATGGAGATGTCATTGTTTCACGGTCTACTGGGATGTAGCCACTGGATTTTTGCAGCTTTGTTTTATATGTAAACAAGGGTATCAGTGCATGTCTTAGTCTTTTCAGATTGATATGACAGAATACCATACGCTAGGTAGCTTCTAAACAACAGAAATTTCTCTCTCACAGTTCTGCAGACAAGGACGTCCAAGAAAAGTTGCCAGCCGATTTGATGTCTGGTGAGGGCTTGCTTTCTCATAAATGGTGCCTTCCTGCTGTATCCTCACGTGGTAGAAGGAACAGGCCAATTCTCTGGGGTCTCTTTTGTTTTTAATTTTTTTATTTTATTTTAAAGATATGGGGTACAATTCAGGGTTAGGTATACAAATGTTCATTATGCAGGTACCCTTGTTGATGAGGTGTGTCCACCCCCACCCTCCCCAGCAGTTTCCCACTACTGCCAATCCCTTTCTTATAGTATTATGATGTTCAAGGTCTGCTTATGAGTGGGAACATGTGATACTTGGTTCTTTGTTTCTGTGAAAGATCACTCCATATTTTAGCCTCTAAATCCATCCAAGTTGCTGTGAAGTTCATGATTTTGGTCCTTCTTTATGACTGCGTAATATTCCATTGTGTATATGTACCAATTTTTTTATCCAGTTCTCTTTTGATGGGCAGCACAATTGGTTCCATGTTCTTGCTACTGTGAACAATGCTGCGATAAACATGCGTGTGCAGGTATCTTTTTATAGAATGATGTGAGTTCTCCCAGGTAAATTCCCAGTATGGGGTTTCATTTATAAGGGCATTAATCCCAATCATGAGGACTCTGCCTTGTCACCTCCAAAAGGCTCCTCTTTCTAATATCATCACCTGTTGGAGGTTAGGATTTCAACCTAGAAATTTAGGGGAGACACAAACCTTCAGACGTAGCAGTGGAGTTGTTGTTAATACCTTATGCAGAAATAACTTGGGGGCGAGGGTGTTAAGTAAATTTGCTCAAGACCAAATTATCATTCAATGATAAGAGTCAAATGCAGGAACAAAGGTTTCATTTCCTGTATTTTCTTCATGTCACTTAGAAAACTCAGTGTGAGAGTGAAAATCCGTATTGCCTGGAAATTGGAAGTGAACTGGCAAGCTGAATTGGGTAACAGTCCCCACTTTGTGGTACATGACCGACAAGTTTATTCCAGGTTCTTGCTAAATTATAAAAGCTCTAATTTGGCCGGACTCGGTGGCTCAGTCTGTAATCCCACGCTTTGGGATGCCAAAGTGAGTGGATTGCCGTGGGTTCGAGACCCATCTGGCCACCTTGGCGAGACCTCATCTCTACAATAAATTAAAAATTAGCCGGGCATGGCAGCGCGCGCCTGTAGTTCCGGCTACTTGGAAGGCTAAGGCAGAAGGATCACCAAAACCCAGCAGGTCGAGGCTGCAGCGGCCACTGCACTCCAGTCTGGGTGACAGAGTGAGACTCCAACTCAAAAAAAAAAAAAAAAGCTCTGATTTTTCTGATAGAGACCTTCACAAAGAGGACAGGTGCTATGAAAGTTATATACATTTCTCTCTAGAATTTCTTTTGGTGGGTGTCATTCCCTCTTAGCTGTGGTTGGAAACCCCATCGTGGTCAGAATTGTGTTCACCAGTAACAGTGCCTCGTCATTTTATGCTGTACAGGTGTGTTACTGTTCATAGGGATTTTAGTTGAGGTCATTAAACGTTTCACTGCATGTGTTGACCCTTACGTTAGTGATGCAGAACACCACAAACAGGTGGGCAGCTGAAGAGGTGTTTTTCATCTTCTCCTTCCATTTTAGTATCTTGATATAGTATATATAGCCCAGAAACATTGGTTTTGAAGCCCTCGTTTCTTCCCCAGGGCCACCCTTAAAGTTGAGTGTTCTGAGGGACCCAAATGGTGCTGACCTTTAATTCTGTCTTTAGCCTGGACCACACGTCTGAGCTACTGTGCATTACCTGGACACCTTGGTTGACTCCTTACACCCTTATAAACAGATGGATGAATACTATATTTTATGGTTGGAAAATGGAGAATCAGAAACTTAAGGCAATTTGCAATAAATCATACAACTAGGAGCTTTGTTGAAAGCTAGGGACCTTTATTAAAAGATAAAAATAACAGCCGGGTGTGGTGGCATGTGCCTGTAGTTCCAGCTACTTGGAAGGCTAAGGCAGAAGGATCACTAGGTCGAGGCTGCTGTGGACGGAAGCATGTCACTGCACTCTAGTCTGGGCGACAGAGTGAGTGAGACTGTACCTCGAAAAAAAAAGAGAGAGAAATGTAAAAACATTCCAAGTGAGAGGGAATTAAGACTACTCAGTAAGTATCTTGTGTATATAATGTAGCATAAAACTTGATGGAAATGTTCTGTCTTAAGGTAAAAAGTTTCAAAGCAAGGAGAGGAGTAACAAGGCAAAGGAGTGGGGATAGACGGGGCAGAGGTAGATAAGATGAGGATGTTACAGCACGGATGTTTGTTGGTATATGCACTGGAGGCTTTTAGAGAGCTATTTTCATAATCACACTTTTAAGTGGGATGTTGCTGTTTACTTGACTCATCGATGGCTGAAACCAAGCCAGAACTGGAATTAAGCACATAGTACCATTTTATTGGTCAGTTTTTCAAAAAGAGAAAAGCCTCTGTTTGTACAGGCTGGAACAGTCATTTGACCTGTTCTTCAACCCCATCTGGAATTGCTTTGGCATTAACTTAGCATTTCCCCTAGGCACACATGACAGAGGGTTGGGAGGAGCATGGACAGGGTTTTCATTCCTCCAGAGCGCAAAGGCCTCATATCTAAGCGAGGGGGCATTGGTGCCAGTTAGTGTCACTGTTTGGCATGTACATATAGTAGTGAAACTCAGAAGTAGTGAAACTATTTCTCAGTGCCGGCCTCTACTCTCCCACACATGGAAGAGGCCCACTCCCTGCGAGCTGGCCCCTCTATAGGAAAGATGAAGACTCTCCTTCCTGTGTTACTCATGAGTTCCTGTGTGAGTTCCTTTAATGCACAGAGAAAATGACTTGGGCTGTAAACTTCTAGCAAGAAATTTCCAGGTGACTTAGTGCTGGATTAATTTTAGTCTTTCTTCTGTGGTTTCAAAACTGTTTCACTAACAACTTGAACTGTGAGACTTTAGAATTAATTATGGCCGAAAGGGCAATAAGGTAAATGAGGCAGCAGAGACAGAGTCCTGAATGTAGGCCTGGACAAATAGCCGAAAAAATATAGGTGGGAATATGGGGGGAAATTAATCCTAATTTAGACAAATGACAATTAAATGCAAGGTAAGTACTTTGGACCCTGAGACTAACAAAGTTAACTGTTTAAAAAAGAAATTGTTTTGTTAAGACACCAGGGGAAATTGCATCTGGTTTATGTCTAAGCCTGGGATTTTTGACCATGAAAAAGCTAAACAGATGAAACAAGTTTGACAAAATTTCAGAAATTGTTGAATCTAGGTGATGAATATGTGGGGTTCACTTGTATAAAGTTTTTACATCTGCGATGACGAAAAATTTTCATCCTGACTTAAGTTTTTTACCTGACCCCCCCGGGCTCATAGTTGAGTTGTACCTACAATCCAGTGAGGTTACCCTGTTGCAGCCACCAACCCGAAAAACCAAATACTATCCTGAAGCTGCTTTTTTTTCTTTTTTAAACAGTTGCCTTCAACTTATCCAGAGCTATTGCTCTGGAGTAAAGACCAAGATGTTGACCTAGGTAATTGATTAACCAGCCCCTGGACTATGAATAGTTGGCTTTTTTTTTTTTTTTAATAACAAACTTTTTTCACTTTATTTTGTAGGACCACCATGAGACCTCAGACCTTCTATGACGGAAGTCATTCCTGTGCCAGAGGAGTGTGCCATATTCCAATGGCCGAGCCATTTTGTCCCAAAACAAGAGAGGTATGTATTCTTTCTGCGAGATATACCAGAATGAATCGTAAGGGATTTGGGGTGGCATTGAGTATTAGATTAGTTGGCTAGGCAGCTGGTCCCTCTTCCCCCATCAAGTTTGTTTTTTATGAAAGGTTTTATAAAGAATTGTTTCATTTCCCTTTGCTAATAATACCTCTGCCACCTTCATTTGTAAGCTGAGCCACTCAAAGATGCAACCTACCTTTTTAAATCAGTTTTGATTTGCTGTTAGGATACCTTTTGAATAATTTAGGATAGGACAGCATATTACCCAAGTTTCTGTAGTCTGAAGCCAGATTACTTGGGGCTAAATCTCTGCTCTTCACGTAGGAGCTGTGTATTATTGGACAAATTATTTAACGTCTCTGGTTTTCAGTTATCCCACTTCTAAATGAAAATATCCCACTTCTAAAATGAAAATAGAACTCAGCACATCTGATTGAGAAAATCTATAATGAGAGGCACCTTAGCTTACTTAACCTGAGAGGTTAAGGGCTCAGACTCAAGTCCGTACTCACAAACCAGCTTAGTTTCTTAAACTTGTTAAGAAGTAAATGAGATTAAGGCATGTAAGCAAATACCTGCTGCATAGAAAAAGATGAGTGTTTGTTCTCGTAGCTGTAAGCTTTTATACCATATAGGATTGTATGAGGGTAAAAGTTAGTACTTATAAAGTACTTGGAAGCGTGCCTGTCCGTTATGTACTATCCAGTGACTAGTAACTGCTTTTATGAATTAAATTATTATTATTATTGATAATTTTTAAATGACTATATTGACGTCTTCCGCCTTTGAGCATTGCTGCCCAGCCTTCTCTCCAACATTATAGCAAAATCTCAGAATTTGGGAGGTGGGCAGGTGGGCCCATGACGGTAAAAAGTAAGGAATCTTTTCAGGGAATAAATTGACTACCACAACTTAAAGTCCATGACTTGGTCCACATGTGCTGCTACTTTTATAATTCCAGGTTTGAAAGTCGGGTATCACTCAAAAGATCAGAAGTATTGTCAGAGGTGAACTGCCTCATGATGTCTACCTTATAAATTAACTTAGAGAATATAGTACCTCAACTTGTTAGTCATTCAGATTCAGATAATTTTAACACCTGTGTAGTGACTAGATGATTTCTTTTAGCATTTATGTCCAGACCTACATAATCTTGGAAAGCCTGTTTAATAACCTGAAAATTAGATGTGAATTATTAATTAAAACATTGGACAGAGTGATCAAATTTTTTTAATAATGTTTCTAAAAATCCATGCCTGGCCTTGCCATTAAAGGAATGCCAAGATAAGTTTATCCCTGGACAGAAAAATCGTCACAGCCCGTTTGGTTTTCACCATAAGTCCTTGGGAAGGCAACAGGCAAAAGACAAACTGCTTTCTAACCAAAAAAGACTATACAAAAGTCTTTGGATTCTGAATTTAAAAAGCAAGGAGAAGTAACTTCTCAGGAGCTAGAAATAGAAATCAGCACATCTGTTTGAGAAAATCTGTAATGAGAGGCACCTTAGCTTACTTAAAATGAGAGGTTAAGGGCTCAGACTCAAGTCTGTACTCACAAACCAGCTTAGTTTCTTAAACTTGTTAAGAAGTAAATGAGATTAAGGCATGTAAGCAAATAACTGCTGCACAGAAAAAGATGAGTGTGTATTCTCGTAGCTGTAAGCTTTTACGTGCAAAGGATCTGGGAAACAGGGTTATATAAGTGAGCAAGGATCTAGGAAACACCCTTCTGCGATCTAAGTTCTCTCCAAGGGCCTGGCGGACACTAGGCATTTATAGTGAAAAATCTTCCTTGATTAATTTGTTAAACATCCAGGGAAAATAAAATCTTGAGGTTTACATATATACATATATATATATATACTTGCATGTTTTGAGTTTCTGTTTCTTTGTTTTCTAGGTCCTCACAGAGACTGCTAAGAAGCTCGGACTTCGGTGTCACTCAAAAGGGACCATGGTCACAATCGAGGGACCTCGTTTTAGCTCCCGGGCAGAAAGCTTCATGTTCCGTACCTGGGGGGCAGATGTTATCAATATGACCACAGTTCCAGAGGTGGTTCTTGCTAAGGAGGCTGGAATTTGTTATGCAAGTATTGCCATGGCAACTGATTATGATTGCTGGAAGGAGCACGAGGAAGCAGTAAGTGGGATTTCTTCTGAGCCTGTATGATATGGGTTTCTGGGTGCCGTGAGCCATTAGGAGAATGTCTTAACTGTTGCTTAACTTGATTCTATTGTATTTGCTTCAGAAAATGTTTTTCTACAAGTTTTTGTTTGTTTGTTTGAGTCAGAGTCTCACCCTGTCAACCAGGCTGGAGTGCGGTGGCACGCTCATGGCCAACCACAGCCTTGACCTACTGGACTCAGGTGATTCTTCCACCTCAGCCTTCCAAGTAGCTGAACCACAGGCGTATGCCACCACACCTGGCTAATTTTTTTTTGGATTTATTGTAGAGACAAGGTCTTGTCAAGTTGCCCAGGCTGGTCTTGAACCCCTGGACTTAGGCAGTCCTCTCGCCTCCGCCTCCCAAAGTGCTAGCTAGGATTACAGGCATGAGCCACAGTGCCCAACTCTGCAAGGTTTTAAAGTTGTTATTACATGTTATCAGATATTTTTTTTTGTAGTTTCCATTGGAAGGTAAGAACAAAGATCTTCATAGGGAAGAGACACTTTTATCCAAAGATCAATAGTGTAGGCATGTAGATGTCTTGGGAATCATATTGATACACGGGCCTGAATTTAAAGATGAAGGTGAATTTTGTTTGTAAATTCTTTCTGCTGTGCCTACTGTTTGTTATATTAGTTTTCAAGAGGAAAAAACCACTACTTACCCCTTCCTGGTAAGAGAACTCTATATTCATATCCATCTGTTTAACTTACCATGTCTGGATCACTGTGTTCAACCTAGGAATGTGACAGCAAACAGACAAGTCCTTAAGGAGCCAACATTCTAGTTGGGGAGACAGAGGTAAAGCAAATCAATGTAAGAAAGCTAATGGTAAGAAAGATATAGTATGGTGAGGTACAGGAGCACCTATCCAACGGACTGAACAAAATATTTGAAGTGTGAGATGCCTTCTTGGTTTAAATGTGATGGGAAAGAAGGGCATGCCTAAACTGAGTGGAGAGGAGAGAGGGAGAAGAGGGATGCAGAACAGCAGGGCCATACAGACTGAGGTGTAAGGGTTACAGATTGGAAGCCAACGGAGGGGCTTTGGGTAGGAGAAACAGCAAGGTCAGCCTGGAATTTGAAGACACTGGAACAATGAGGTCAGGCCTCCAAAGCAAGTATTTTTATTGTGGAAAACGTTAAACATCTATGAAAGCAGAGAGGAGAGTACGAGGGGGAACTCCCAAAAACACTGGAATTATTTTTTTTGGAGGGGTGCCCCTTGTATAGGCTTCCCCCCGCTGGGTACCCATCAGCATCAGTGTAGCAGCTAGGGTTGTTGTGAGAGGCAGCATTTGGCTTCAGTGAATTTTTTTTTTTTGAAGATTCTTTCAGCGTGTTTGCCTGTTTCATGATGAGCGATTTGTGAGCACACCGTTGTGGGCGTTCAGCGGTTCTGGACCAAAAAGCGGCATGATCCCTATGCTCCACCTTCCCTATTCACCAATCTTGCTCCAAGTGGCTTGCTTTTTTTGTTTCCCTGGATGAACAAAAGTCCTCAAAGGAAAACATTTTGTTGCTGTGGAAGAGGTAAAACAAAAAACAGCCAGAAGCACTAAAGGGCATCAAAACTGACACATTCAAAAACTCTTGACAGTAGAAAAGCATCTCGATAGATGTATTGCCTCAAATAGAGAGCACTTTGAAGGTGACTGGAGTTTAAACAGGGAAGGAGAAATACACAATTTTTCTAAGTAAATTCTGATTTGGGAGGTATCCCCCCTCATATAATGAGCCCCAGGTATTCATTACCCAGCTTTTACAATTATCAACCATGGTCAGTTGTGTTGTCATATATATGCCCCATCTAATTTTCTCTCCCCTTCTTTCATTTGAAGTATTTTTGTAAAATACCTCTTTTCTTAATTTAAAAAAACATAACCACAGCAATATAATCATACAAAAATATTGACACTAATTTCTTAATCAAATATCCACTGTTCGCATTTTCCCTTGGTCTCATAATTCTTGACAGTTTGATCAAATCAGGATACCTTTTAATCCAAGCATTTTATTTTAATTATGAGCCTCTTAAGTCTTTTAACCTAATATTCCCCTCCACCCCTTTTCATTCCTTGGGTTGCTTGAAGAAACTAAATCATCTGTCCTGTCATTAATCTCATTTTAAAATAGAGGAAGGGACAAACCACAGTCAAAGAATTTTGCAAGGAAGAAATACAGGAGTGACTGTTCTGAGCACATTTAGGGGAAGTGACATCTCCCAAGAGGCCCTTACCACCATCTCAAAGAGTTTCTTGTCTCACCATCCAATTTCATATAAAACAGAATTAGATTTTCTTGCTCCCTGTCTATCCATGTGTATGGTATTTTGGGTCATAGGTGAACACTGGTTCCTTGTTTTCATGAGTGTCTTATCATGACTCCTCAGTGTAATAAGCTGTTGCTAAGTTCTAGAATACCTTTTATGTTAAAAAAAAATTGTAAATTCTGACCTTAAGTCACAACTTAATAACTGATTTGGCAACTTTGGTAACCTTAGGAACAACTCAGCCTCATGATGTCAAGAAGCTGTTTCCAATTAATAGAAAACTGCAGCCCCTGCCACTCCCTGAGAGCAGATTGCTTCCTGCCTGTGGTTCAGTCTAGTAACACATGTCTCTTCCTTTGCAGAACCAACTGTGATTTTTTTTTTAAGCAGGCCATATGAACTTTGGAAAGCAGGCAGTCAGAACTACTTCATCTAAAAGCAGAGAAACTAAACTCTGTATAAGTAGTAGTGCTTGAAGACAGATGATGTTAAATGCCACAGGAAGGCACAGATAAAGATGGTGTCATCTCAGCCAACTATGTCATTGTGCTTTAAACGAAATGTGCAACCTGGCGTGTCACGAAGCCTTTGGAGTTACCTGAATCCACCTTTGAGTTCTAGATGTTCCATCTACTTTTGGTGCTAAGCAAGTTCCTTAGCCTGTCTGCTCTTCTTTAGAATGAAGCTAGGGTTTGGGGTAAGCAGTGGAGGATGTATTATTATTATTCTGACCTTGCAGAATTACTGGGAGAATTAAACCAATTGATAGAGGTAGAACAACTAGTATGGTGCTAGCTCACAGGAGGATGGCCGTCAGATGGTAGCTGTGATGAAGATAAGGGTGGGGAGTGAATAGTATTGGAGAAAAGCATAAAAGAAGGTAACTTTTGAGATTTGAGCTAGATCTTGAACAGAGAGTTTATTGCAAGAAGCTCAGTAGGAATGTTTTGGGTGCAGCCCAACAGCTGAAACAAAGATAAGAGAGGACAGAGTCTATATAGAAATATCAGTCCAGGAAAAGTGAGGGAAATTAGTAAATAAAAGGTAATTCTCTTGGATGCTTCACATCACTGCATTGGAAGACTCAGCTTAAAACGCACCCTTGACATGTACCTGGCAGATACCCAACTGGTTACTGCTTTGTTGTTCCCATAGTACTAGAAACTCCTCTTTGCTGCAGTGCTCATTAATTTTTTTTCTACACACATCTCTGTGTTTGTGGAAGGGATCTGGACTTTATAGTTAAGGAAATAGAAAGGGATAGTTAAGGAAATAGAAAGGGATAATTGTTGTGTCCCTGAATGCTGGATTTTTTTCTAAGCATAGTAAAACATGACAAGTACTCTCTCAGTTTTATATTCACAACTTTTTTCAGCTTTCCCTTATGAAGCATTTTTAATTGTATACAAAAGTAGACAATAGCATGAGCTTCCATGAAGCCCACATCCAGCTTCTGCCATCATGATATCAATTTATGGCCATTTTATCTATATTCCCATCCGTAAATATATCCATAAACATTTCAGAAGTTTTCTAACATAACCGCATTATCATACTCCAACAATAATTCTTTAATATATCCAGCCAAAATTTAAATTAAATACCATAAATTCTTTTTTTCTTGCAAGTTTTCTGTGAAAGAACCAGGTCATTTGTCCTGTTGAGTTTCCCACGGTCTGAATTCCTGAAATCTTCTCAGAGTAGTTTAACGGGTTTCTCTGTCCTCTGTATTTTCTGTAAATTGGTAACTAGATCTAGAGATTTGATCAGATTCAGGTGTCATAAGTAGTGTTTTGTTTTCCTGTCTGGATACACATAATGGGTGGTTTGTTTGAGGAGTTTTTTTGGTTTTTGTTTGGTTGGTTGATTGGTTTATGATATTGGCAGCCAATCCCTTAATTGATTGGGAGCCATACAAATGATGATGCTTTCATTCCATAATTTTTTTGATTAGCTAGAATATCTTTTGAAAAAGAAATGGACTTCTGTTTGGTTGCCCAACGTAGCAAAAGCTTTAAGACCAGAATCCATTCTACTAGACCATACCCATCAATTTTACATCAGAGATATTTTCTCAGATACCACTTTGAAATCTGTTAGTGCTTTTCGGAGGTTCATTAGGTTTCTCCAAAACCTTTGCCTTAGAAATTGAGTTCAGGGCACTGAGTTTGGAGTAACTAGACTTCACAGTTCAAGTTTGTCTCAGTCTGTTCAGGCTGCTATAGCAAAATGCCGTAGCATGGAGAGCATTTAAACAGAAGTTTATGGCTCACGGTTCTGGAGGCTGGAAAGTCCAAGTTCAAGGCACTGGCAGATTCAATGTCTGGTCCGTGAGGGCCCATTTCCTCAGAGACAGCCATCTTCTCACTGGACCCTCACATGGTAAAGGGATAAAGGATCTTTCTGGGGCCTCTTTTATAAGGGCATTGATCCCCTTCATGAGGGCTTTGTGTTCATGGCCTAATTGCCACCCAGGTGCCTCACCTCCAAGTATGCTATATTGAGGATTAGGGTTTAACAGATGAATTTTGGGAGGACACAAACATTCAGACAATAGCAAGGTTGGAATTCAGGAAAGTGTTTTGTGAAAAGCAGTGGTATTTTTTTTTTGAGAAGTGTTAAATATTCCTTATTTGGTGTTAACACATAAACCATAATAAAATGCATTTCAGTAAGTAAAAGTCAACATTTTTAGATATGGGGAATTCTAATCAACATGGTTAAGACTAAAAATATAAGATAGACACTGCTACTTTGTCCTCAGCCCTTGCCTTGAACAGGCTAATGAACACAAAACAAGGTGGATCTTGCTTTGTTTTGAGACAGTTCTCAGTATTTAAAGATATTCCTATAACCAATTACATAAATCTAAATATAAAACCAATCTCTGATAGATTTTATGATGACATTCACCTTTATGAAAAGTTGAATTATTAAGTTCAGTCTTTTCTTTAGAAGGGGAAAACAGTACTAGCATTTACTAAATTGAAATTACTATTCAAATTTTTAAAAACCAATCATTTTCACTTAACCTGACAGGCCAGTCTTAGTTAAATCAGGACTGTCCAACAAAAATATTGTCAGCCACTCATGTTCTGAATTCTAGTGTATGAGATCAATTAACTTATGGTGTATATAAAAAAATGTTATGAGACATTTCTGTTTTTTCATAAATAATGTAGTGGTCAATTATTAATCTTACTCATTAGTAGTTTTTTTTACATAAGCTGTCAAATCCTCTCTTTCTACCTTCTTCTTAATGCTGCAAAGATCATTTTTGTTCAAGGGATGTACTTCTTGGGATTTTCTAAGTACTCCATCAGCATATCCTCTCCCCAAGTAATGCCTTTGTTCTTACTGGCTTCTGTGTGAGCGAATCCAATGACCTGACCTGTCTTCTACCCAAAGAGACCATGGAGATTTGACCTAGTCTTGTGCTTGTCTCCCTTTTCTACGGGGTGGTACTGGGCATACTTCTGAATAAAAATCATGTGGCCTTTTTCAACATTGCTCATATTTAATTTTCTTTTATCACTGATGCCATGAAGGTTCCTGCTTGGAAGCCAGACATACCACTCTCAGCAGTGTAATTTTAAATTCTGGTAACTTTCTGTGTTGTTGTTTTTATAGGTTTCAGTGGACCGGGTCTTAAAGACCCTAAAAGAAAATGCCAATAAAGCCAAAAGTTTACTCCTCACAACCATACCTCAGATAGGGTCCATGGAATGGTCAGAAACCCTTCATAACTTGAAGGTAAGAGTCCTCAGTCATCTAAACACATAGACCTTTCGCTGACTTCACCTATTTGTATTTCACCCTAGATCTGTCTTCTATGTATTTTATGCTAGCCTGGATGTTTTCAACAAGTTTTCATGCCATTTGCTATTATATCAACCACTTGTGAAATTGAGTAGTCATATTTTCTGGCTGGTAATGCAGGGTCATGAGAAGTTGGGGTGAGGAGAGTTTTATTATCTAGTGTATCAGATTCTTCACATTCTCCTGCTCTGTAGTATTTAGTCTTGCTTCAGAAGATTGATAGTGCTTTCTCTGCGTATGGCTTGTGTTGTTGACAAAGCTATTTTGTCTTCAGCAAACCCATGCAGAGTATTGGCAAGCCATTAAAGCCAAAACTCTTAGAGCATTACAAAAATGGTGCCTGCTTAAGATTAATGACAAATTAGACAGTAGTTAATGATAAACACCAATTGGTAGCTTTCCAACTCTGGTGTTAATTCCCAGAATACCATTTAACTGAAGGCTAAACTCCGAGGTACATGATTTTTTATTTAGCTATTTTGTGGTTTGTTTTTTTTTTTTTTTTTTTGATTAATCAAAAAAAAAGGAGTTGCTTTAAATTGATGATATTGCATTCCTCTTGTATCCAAAGAAGAACATGTCTTGAGATCTTGGGGTCTTATGACAGTAGTTGAGAAAGGATTTGCAAGATTAGTAAAAACCTACCTGAATTACAACCTAGGAGCTCTAATTATTGCTGATTTGCGTGGTATATATGCTCCAGCATGGCCAATTTCAAGATATTAAAATGAAACCACTGCTAAGTTGGGAAGTGATACACAGTTGTCTCTTGCAAACTGGTACAAGCAGGCTATAGCACATCACTGTCGCAAAGGTTCTCTTAATCTTTAGGACTGGCAAAGTCAGGAATGTTGGAATTTGTAGTCTGTCTTCCTACAGGAAACACATCTGTTGGTTTGATTGAACACTGTATACCTAGGAGGTGATTGTTATTTAATGCAGAAATGATTAACCCCTTTCCCCCATGAACTGTTTTATCATGATTCAGACACAGGAAGCCCTTATAATTATGAAGAAAAGAGAAATGATACTTAGAATTAGGGAATGTCCTCTTAAACTACAAACAGGTGGCTTTTTGGTTTCACTTTAAAAACAGTTACATTGAACTGAGAGTAATGAGCTTAATGCAATGGAGCAAGCAGTACAGCCTTAGCTTGTGTAACAAACCAGTGTTGGTTTTCTGGAAATTTGACTCATACTTTTGCCATTGCTAAGCCAAAGTTGCCAACAAGATGTCCCAGAAGTTTGTTTTATATTATTTTTTTGGTCTTCTCCCAGCTGCTCCCACTTTGACCATAGTCTTTTAAACTTGAAGATAATTTCGCAAGCAATCAATTTATTATTTTTAATTTTTCAGTAAAAATGCTTGGATGGTATAAATTAAGTGTTCTCCTTTCCTTTCCTGAGGTTTCTGAAATGGTGTGTAAAATTGTATGTTTTAGTTTGCATACATTTTTAGAGATGCTTAGTATATGCACCTTTCATCAGGTATCAGATTTTCAAAGGGGGATATATGACCTAGAGAGAGAAAATGAATTGCTGCTCTGGACAACATTAAGAATCATGTTCTCTATTTTGTAGCATTCAGGAACATCATACAAATAATACCTTATGCTGGAGTAGTATCTTCAGTCCTCTAAGCACTGAAATGTGTATCTTCCATTTACTCACTAATTTATTTCAGAAACACTTAATAAACACCCACTGTATGTCAAGCCCTGGTTTACAGAATAGGATCTTGTGATGATAATGATCCTATTTTGTTTAGAAATGCAGGCACTTTGAAATGCAAATTTATTTTATTTTATTATTATTATTTTGCAGTGGGATAAGGGTAAGGGATGGAGGTTGTATAAACAATAATCCAGGCTGGGGTTTGGTATATAAGATGTGCCCTAGTGAATGTAAAAGTGGATGGAAATAAATGATTATCAGTATAAGCCTCTGAGAAAAGCATTATTAACTCACTTTTGTACCTAAAGTCTCACATATTGCTAGTGAACTTGAAAATTGTCTGGAAAACTATTTAAAGTGTATGGTTCATGAGTCCTTACTGTAACCATAAAATCAAAATCTGGTTTTTCACAGAAATGACCAGTAATTAGCATGTCGCCTACATGTGAGCATCACTGCCTACAATGCTTGTCATCTGTGCCTGTCTATAATTTCTTCTTTTCAGAATATGGCCCAGTTTTCTGTTTTACTACCAAGACATTAAAATAGCATGACTTCCCAGAAGAAGAGAAGACTGTAATTTCAATCATTTTGGGATGCTTACTTGAAAAAAAAACTTGTCTGCAAAGCAAGGGGGACATGTGGTAAGAAAAACAAGACACCATGTGTATTAGAGACTCCTAAAAGACTCGGACTTCTTCAAAACAGAGAAGAAAAGCAAACGACCAGTAAGCATGTGGTGAAAAGTACTGTCTTTTAGGCAAGAACCCAAGATACCATTTTCTTCTCCCCTGTTAAATTTGCAACAATAAAGGATAAACGGTAATATATTCAGACTCCTATGTTGCCAAGAAATATAAGGAAGAACTGGAACTCCTTAACTATTTATTGATGTGACTGTAAATTTCGGGAGGGCAGTTTGATAAAAATGCATCAAAAGGCTTAAAAATATATACTTTGTACTGAGTACTCATAGGATTTCTCCCTAAAAACTATCAGATTCAAAGCATTGTATATAAAGAAGGATGTTTAATAATGTTAGTTATAATAACATATTTAAAATACTCTGAATAGTCAACAATTGGAGGTCAATTATGATTTAGTTATAGTTAGATGTGAATCAGCCAACTGAAGATCCTTTTCACATAATATTTTAATGTTTTTTAGAAATGTTTGCTCTATGACATGGAATGAAACACAGGATTTGTAAGTGTTTTGTCGTACTAGTTATGTTTTGAAATGTTATCTAAATGTACAAAAAGACTAGAAAGAATTTGGGTGCCCCCATTTCTTTTGGGGCACCCAAAGAAATGGAATTATTTTTTGAATGGGAGGGGTCTGGAGACCTCTGGTAGTACAGGCTACCCCAACTACCAGCTAGTATTGTGAAAGGCAGCAGTCGGTGATTTTGTTGTTGTTGTTGTCGTTTTTGAGATTCTTTCAACACATTTGCCCATTTTATTATGGGTGTGATTTACAAGCACACCTGCCCACACTGTGCTGAGTCCCCACCCTACCTATTCACCTGATCTCTACCCAAGAGACTTTTCTTGTTTCCCTGGATGAAAAATTCCTCAAAGCAAAATGTTTTGCCAATATGGAAGAGGCGAAACAAAAATCAGCAGAAGCACTAAAAGACATCAAAATTGAAAAGTTCAAAAACTGTTTTTAGCCGTGGAAAAAGCATCTCGATAGATGTTGCATCAAACGGAGAGTGCTTTGAAGGTGACTGAAGTTTAAACATGTAAGAATAAATACGCAGTTTTTTATAAATAAATTCCAGGGGAGTTTTGAGTCCCTCCTCATTGTGTTATGTATTAGGAGAGAGATTCTGGATACTTTTTATTTTCTTTGAATCCTTCTGTATCTTCACATTTTTCTACAGTGAATATAATCAGATAGTAAAGTTGTTGTAAAAATTAAATTGGACTTAGAAAGATCCAGTTCTTGAAAACACTGTTCCTGGTAATGAAGCAAAAGTTAAGATTGGTTATATCTTAAGGTGAGTGTGCTTTAAGGGAGTTACATCTTTAGTCTACCAAAAAAAAAAAAGAGAGAGAGAGAGGGAGAGAGGATCATTTGTTTCTTTTTAGTCAGAACAGTAATAGTGTTGGCAACAGCTTTCTGAGAAGAGTTATGTGTTTAATGCTGAGGTAATCTAAAAGTTAAACTATTTAAAAAATGAAATGCGCACACTGTGGTATCAGATATTTTTAAATTAATGTTTGACTTTATTTCTACTTTTTATGAGTTTATGAATTATTTTACATAGCTGGTGATTTTTTAAATAAAATAAAAAATGTAGAAGTTTGCTTTTTTACTCTCCAGTTTTCATTTTTGATTTTATAGTAATACTTTAGTTTTCTATCATGGGGAGATCATTTTTCCTCAGAATTATTTTCTTTTCACTGTAGTCTATTACAGGATGCATTAGGGTCAGGATATAAGCCATTTGTTTAGAGAGTTTGTAAAGTCAATGTGTTTGTGTCCATAAGACTGACTTCAAAACATTAAGTAGCTAGTTGTAAATAATAGGCCAGTTTCAGGATGGCCTACTGAGCTCTCCACTTCTGTCCCTGTGGCCTAGACCATTAAACCTTTAAGTCGTAAACCACACCCCAGTCATTAAAAGGTCTGTTTAAAGTTAAACAAACAAACCTGTTACCTTCCAGCATGAATATTGAGCGCATTTGGGTCATATGTGATTATGACTTTTGGATTCCCTGATGTGGCAGTTTCAACTCGGGTGATCCATTCGAGATCCATGGAGACCCTGATGGACCAGAATCTAGAGTTCTCCAGCTCTGTAACCTGTGATTGTTGTCACTACAATATAATATACGGACGACACCTTAAAAGTCAAGGCAGAAATGTGGGCATTTTTCTTGCTGCCTTCAGAAAGTCCAGTTCTCTCCAACTTGCAGAAGTATTTTTCTTGGTCAAATAGCCTTTTCTAGCAACCTCATTTTCAGACTTTTCAGATGAATGGAGTATACTCTTGTTTTCTTTGTTCCCCAACCTCATTAGATGAATGAAGTATACTCTTGTTTTCTTTGTTCCCAATCATTCACTCCTTATACAAAGCCAGTATAATTTTTGTCATATATTACGCTTGAGGATATTGCTGAAGAATGCTTCCTGGAATGCCTCTCACTTCTAGGGTACTGCACTATGTTTTTTGCTGTTTTGTTTGTTTTTAAGCTACTATACTAAGTGAACACCTTGGTCAGATTGGAGCATTTTGAAATTTCTCCAGTGGATGGTGAGCATAATGAGAAAGCTCTAACTTGGTTACTTAACCCTTTGTTGATTAATATCTACTTAAAGAAATTGTTATGGGCATTATAATCTGCTCTTGTGTTTGGTATTTTCATGGTTTTGAGAATGACAGCCTGAATCATTTATGTGCAGAGTGTTAACCAAAAAGGTTGAAAAGGCTAGAACAACAGAGTTTACAATTGATACCTAAAAATATTTTGGAGTTTAACCTAAGTACATCCTGGAATTGTTTTTTATAGGCAAACACTTGGGAATGGCTAAAATTTCAGTGGTGTGGGGTGGTCTAAATAAACTAAGGGACATCAATTCAAATAAATAATGTGCAGTTGTCAAAAAGAGCAGATATATCTTTACTCTAGGCATCAGCATGGGAAAATGCCCACGATAAAAATGAAAATAAAAAATACAGCCGGGCTCAGCCTGTAATCCCGCACTTTGGGAGGCCAAGGTGAGTGAATTGCCTGAGCCCGCTGGTTCGAGACCCACGCCTGGGCAACTTGGCAAGACCTCATCTCTACAATAAATCAAAAAATTAGCCGGGCATGGTAGCGCGCACCTCTACAGCTACTTGGAAGGCTGAGGCAGAAGGATCACTGGAGCCTAGCAGTGTGAGGCTGCGGTGGCCGGGAGCGGCCACTGCACTCCAGTCTGGGCAACAGAGTGAGACTCGAACTCAAAAAAAAAAAAAATACATAAAGTTAGTGTGCAGGTTGTGTTGGTGTATGGATAGCATAACTACACATTATGTACATAGAAAATTTCTGGAAGGAAACTAAATGATAAACTTCTGAGGCATGAAGTTTATTTAAACTGTTTAACTTCATATCATTCAATACTGGTCGAACTTTTTACCATAGGCATCTGTTTTATAATTTATATATTTTAAGCAGTGGAGACTTGAGGAGACCTGTCTTCATAGCAGTTTATGTAATATGAGATAAAATATTTGATTCTTGGCATTAACTTCTGATAGGTTATGTTTGGGATACTGTATCCATTTCTGGGCACACTGGTTTCAGGGTAATGTTGACCATCTAACAAGCACCAAGAAGGATGAGGGGCCTGGGGAAACCATGCCACGTAAGTAATCGTGAAAGGAATTGAGTATATCTAACCATTTCAAAGAAAACTTTGAGAACTTTGCATATTTAAAGGACTGTTGTTCAGTTAAAGACATGTATCTCCCTCAGTATTCTGTAAGCCTTCATCAAGGCAGGAACTTTTTTTAACTTGACGGTATAGGATCTTCTCCCTTTACTTAGCAAAAGTTCAACAAATGTTTGTGTAAATGGAAGTCTGATCATATCTCTTTCCCTTCATCAGCTCTCCCAGGCACCTCCCTCCTTCTCCTTCACTTTAAACTGGTGACTTAGTTCCTGCTTCACTGACGAAACTGACACATCAGCCAAGAACTTACAATAACATCTTTCACTGCCCTCTCCCAAACTGGTTTCCCTCCCGTTGCCATCTGTGATGGTGCTTCCCAAGCTTGAGTATGTGTCCTCTTCACTGGGAGGGCTTGTTAACACAGATTGCATGGTCCCACCCCAGAGTTCTGGTTCCAGAGGTCTGAGGAAGAACCTGATAGTTTGCATTTCTAACAAGTTCCAGGTGATGTTGCTATTCCAGGAGACACGCCTTAAGAACTGTTATCATGTTTCTCCCATGCACAGGCCCCATGCCTCCCACCAAGTCAGGGCCTTAATCTCATAATTGCCCCTTCCATAATCACTTTTTCTCTTGTTACTGGGTCATTTTTTTTTAGCATACAAATATACTTATTTCTCTTTTTAAAATTCTTTTTTTTCTTCTTTTTTTTTTTGAGTCGGAGTCTCACTCAGTCACCCAGACTGGAGTGCAGTGGCCACTCCCAGCCACTGCAGCCTCGACTTGCTGTACTCTGGCGATCCTTCCGCCTCAGCCTT